CCCAAAAGAGCGTGGAAATTTGGGGTTTCTTTTTCCCTGAATTCAGCCATTTTTGGCCCCCCGAAATCCCCCCCACCCATCCTTTTTTTTTTTGTGAAAAATGGGCCGTTTTTCACAAAAATGGGGGTATTTTTGCTTTTCCCCAGCCCTGCTGAAGCCTGCAGAGTGCTTCTGGGGCTGGAGGAAGGGTAAAATGCCTCAGTTTTTGTGAAAAACGGCCCATTTTTCACAAAAAAAAAAGGATGCGTGGGCGGGATTTCAGGAGGCCAAAAATGGCTGTATTCAGTGTATAAGACACACCAAATTTCCACGCTCTTTTAGGGGGGGAAAGGTGCTTCTTATACTCTGAAAAATATGGTAGATAAAAATCATTCACTTGATTGTGAACATCGGGAGACTTGGAATGCAAAAAATAATAATAATTCTGAATTTTATGTCAAAACAGAAACCAAACAAGCCATAGTCTACATTAGCAGTTTCCAAAAATACCTCAATCCTATTATTGCCAAATCTTTCAATTGCTTTTTCTTCTGAGTAACCACAAGCTCCATATTCCAAAGGAGTGAACACTGTAGTGGGGACGTTTATATAATCACACTGTCAAGGAAAAATATTTGGAGATAAGCATTACAGTTGTCAGAACCACAAGCATATCATATCTCAGAGCATTAGATGATTTTAAAGTAGCAGCAATTAATTCAAGGGCGATCCACACACTTCAAATAAGAACACCACTAAAGCTTTCCCCGGTTTATTTTTCTCAGATGTGGTTGGACTGTAATGCCCATCATCCCTAAATACCAGCAATGATGGCTTTAGTCCGAAGAGAGTTGTAGTTGAAATCATCTAGAAGAATTTCACTTGGGATTGCTGCTGTAAGTTTATGAATGTTAGCTACCAATCACATGTGCATAAACTGAAAACAAAAATGCATTTTTAATTTCAAAACCATTGTTTTTACAACCACAATGATAAGCACTATCTTACCTTTGTGTATGATCCAGCATAAAGCCTCCTCACCAACAGCCGACCCGCCTGAATTGCCACCGGGGTGAGTTCTGGTTTGCCTTCCAGGACATCTCCAATAGCATAGATGTAAGGCACATTTGTTTGTTCCCTGTCATTAACAGGAATTTTTCCTGTCCTAGAAGTTGATTGGATGGGAGAGAGAAAAGCAGATGATCCACATGCAAGATTTTGGTTGCAGATTAAAGGAATCATAACCTCATTAAAAAGGGACCATAACATGTGCTTTGGAGGAAAACACTTGTAGAGAAAAATTGGTGATTCGAATAAACAGAACAAAAATACATTAATTCAATTCATGTAGCTGCTCATCTCAAACATATACGTAGCTGGGGAGGGCTATAATTATTATAATGCTGCAACTGAAAAGCTGTGTTTTTCACGTTTTTCCTCTTATATAACTACTAAATAAAATAAGCTTTGCACCCCATCAAAAGCACTAAGAAAATAGAACAAAATAAAAAGTATTGCTCAGGGTGTTCTTTGCCCAATACATCTGGCAAGGTGAGATAAAGCAAAAGCCTTAATGGCAAAATGTTAATCATTAGCATTTTAATTGTTGCTAAGTTTGCCCTTTTGGCATATCCAGTAATAGGAAGCTGTAATTATGGTGCCTATCTTGCTGCTGCAGTTATTTTTAAGAAAAGAAATGTATGTTTCCTTGAAAAATTATATGCATCAAGACTTCAAGATTGATGTTGCAAGAAAGAGACATTTTATAATAAAAAGACAAGGAATTTAGCCTTACTTTTCATTGATCCTCACTCCAACTTTCTGTAGGCCAATTTTTTTTGTGCAGGCATCTCTTCCTATTGCTAGCAATACCTGAAGAACAGCAATATTTTAATTTAAGTCTACTTATCCTAGGAAGTTTATGAGGATTTTTGTGAATCCTCAATAGGACATGACACAATTAAGTTGTGAAAAATGTACATACCATAGCTGTTTCAACTAATATTAGTATGCAGTAGCTTTAATGTCACAATTTTATGATCAAGCACTAGTGTGAATTAGATTACACTGCACAGATGGGCAAGATTAAGATTTCATTTGTCCCTTATACTGTTTTTTCAGCCCTTTAATATCATTCTGTTATCAGCATTGTGGAATTTCAATTTCTTATTGTTATGAGGCTGGAAAGATACGAAGATACTTAGATAAACTGCATTTGTACAATCAAAAGACCAAAGGAAAGAATGATACAATCACTCGTGACTCGACAAATGCGCGCACAACAACAGCGCACCGTCGAAACCGTGGCGAGAAAACCACGATGCAATAAACGCGCCCACAACAACACGCCGACAAAACCGTGCCCACAAAAGCGCGATTTAAGTTAAGGTAAGCGTTAGGGTTAGGGTTAGGTTCAGGGTTCGGTTTAGGGTTAGGGTTAGGATTAGGGTTAGAGTTACGGTAATTAGGTTGTTATTAGTTCTTTGTTGAAGGCGCGCTTTTGTCGGCACACTGTTGTCGGCGCGCTTCTGCACTCATTCATCGGCACGATTTTGACCTTGCGGTTTTCTCACCGCTATTTCATCGGCACGCTTTTGTCGAGCGCGCATTTGTCGGTGAACCACAATCACTATACCCAAAGTGATATAAAAATATTACAAAATCCATGCCCATTCATATCCATGAAACCTAAATGACTATTCCATTAATATCTCACTATAGCCACTACTCTTACATTAATTGTGGCCCCATTTTGGCCACAAAATAGTTGTCCACCACAGCCACCACGCGTTTCTTTAAGTGCTGTGAACTTTTTACTTTTATTATTATTTTTATTTATGTATATGTTGTTGATGTTTTTCCAACATGAGCACAAGTACCTAGGTGTCAGGAAGTGAATATAGTTGCTCATAGATAGGGAAAAACTAAGCATCTGATCCAGCCTTGTAATATTCAAAAGCACTGAAAACCACACTAGTTCTAGACAGTCAACTCAGGGAGCAGATCTTCAACATTAAAAAGCCAGTAGCTGTTCCTGAGTTTTGTGATTGTTCACTGATGCAAGATCAATGCAAGTAGTTCAGCCTGTTATGCGTCCTTTTAAATTAGTTTGTGGTCCTCAACGTTTTGATAGAATCTATCTACCCTTCACCAATATGATTGAAGCCATCATGACATTGACCGTGGAAGCATCTTATTCTTCGCTCCTTTGCCTATTCTGCTCAGAGGCATTTTACACAATTTAACTGAAACTAAAATAAATAAATGCAAACTACTTACTGTGTTGTATTCTCCTTCAATTATGTCAGAGTTCTCTGTAGCCTGAGCTGTAACTTTTAGCAGTCCAGGAGTTCCTTTCGTAATCTGTTCAATCTGCAATATTTTTTATAAATTAAATGTTGACTTCAAGTAGGGAATAGTTATAAACTTTAATCACAAGCAGAGGTGGGTTGCTCCCGGCTCCCGGTTTGGCCAAACCGGTAGTGGTGGCGGCAGGAAGCTCTACCCACCCACCCGGATGCTTCTGTGCATATGCAGAAGCGTTGGAACCCACCACTGATCACAAGTGTTTCTTCTGAATGTTTATATTTTAGTTATTATCTTGCGACTTAAAGAAAACAGCTGTTATGATCATTTTTCAAGACATTTTCTGCAATGAGCCTACCTGTTTTTCTTTCTGCTGGTGTTTCCCTTGAGAGAAACCAGCAGTTTGAACACAAAGGAAACCGATTTTGAATCTAGTGATACTGAATTTAGGAAGCTGTTCATGGGACCACTTCAATCCATGGCTCCTTAAAAATGGCCTAGGCACAGGGGAGGGCAGCCATGTCTCTTGCAAAAAGATAAATCAGCCTTTTAAAATCTAGGTTCTCATCAATTTCCCATTGCTAGTCACCAAGAAACTTTTTAAAACAATCTTTCTTAGACTGATGATCAGCGCTGAGTGTAGGAAGAGTCTTAGTTAGAAAATCTAAGAACAGAGATCAGTAATGTCCTGTGGGTCACAGGCCAGAATCTCACAAGAGATTACCTGCAAGCTATGTTTTTTTCCATTATTTGATATTTATTCATTATGTTCATAGCCTGACCTGTCCCTTAAGAAAGACAAGACAACATATTTTCAGTTACTCGTTTATTTTTACCCTCAAAACTCATGATGTAGACAAGCATGAGGAAGAAAATGGCCCAACATTCTGAGCTTTATGGTTCATTTCTTGAATCTAGATTTTCCTTGCCTACTCTGAAACTCCAACCACTGTATCAAATTGGCTTCCATGATACCTCGGAGGCAAACTGTGAGAAAAATGTAATTTAAACATGTATTCATTTGTGTCTGTAACATTCCACAGACAGATGGAATTCTGCCTAATGCCTTAAAATTGATTTCTGCCTAACAATATAATAAGCCACTTGGGATTTATGTTTGCCACAAGTGGCTTAATGCATCTAGCTATTCATATCATGAAGGGAAAATCTACATAAGATGAATATTGGGGAAAAGTAATCCCGGTGTTCTAAACTTGTCACTCTTTTAAGTGTTCAGCCTTGACGGGAGAAAAAGCATCTCAAAGACATGTCAAAGAATGAATAAAGCACTAAGGTCATTGAATAACGGTATAGGTTCCCCTTGCATATGTGCTAATCATTTCCGACTCTAGGGGGTGATGCCATCTTTTATCTTTTTTAAAACGGCGATGCCGTTTTAAAGCTGAAGATCCAGCGCTGTCCAAAGACATCTCTGTGGTCATGTGGCCAGCATGACTAAACACTGAAGGCGCATGGAATGCTATTACCTTCCCACCAAAAGTGGTTCCCATTTTTCTACTTGCATATTTTATGTGCTTTCTAATGACAAGTAACAAGAGCTCAGTCCTTTTTGCGGCACTAGGGATTCAAACTGCCAAACTGCCAACCTTTCTGATCGACAAGCTCAGCGTCTTAGCCACTGAGCCACTGCATCCCATAGGTCATTGAGTAGTCAAGGGTTAATCCCTAGATTAGCTCACCCCTAGAGTGAGCTACTGGCGGTAAGAGAAGTAGATAATAGTTTAACCTAGTAAAAACAACTTCTGATGTTCTACAATATGGATTGTACTGTATTGTCAGTCCATGGATTGCATGTGGACTCAGGCATCAAATTGCAGCCCTTACAGGAACCACAGATTGTGCCATCTGATTTTCAACAATATGATTTTTTTCATTGTAAATGCAGTCTGTTAGGTTCAGGAAAATGGGTGTGCTAAGTGTGAGCAGCAAAAAACATCCACTGCCACTTTTAAAGCCCTTCAACTCCTGAAAAACAAGTTTGTTTTCCAGTGAAATCAGTACGACATCAAACACACCCCATGCAGTCCCAAGGCTGACATTAATTATATATTTAAAACATGAATACTCTGTCCTCCAAAATATTGCTGCTCTCTGGTTTAAAACATATGTGACATAAAAGAAACTGTGAAAGCCACAAGCGTCTTTGAAGTCTTACTAAGAAGGAATATGAACCACAAAGCAGGTTACCATGAAAGCCACTTTTAAAATTACTTCTTTTTGGCAAGTCTTACCTTAGTGGGTACATATTGTCTTATGAACTTTACACCATGCTCTTCCATATGCTCTCCTATTTTATTTGCCATGTCCTGATCAAAGCCTCTCAGGAGAATGGAACGCACCATGACAGTCACATCTAAACCAAGTCCAGCAAGAAATCCTGCACATTCAAGAGCAACATAAGATGCTCCAACCACCAGTGTCTTTCCTGGGCAGTAAGGCAGTGAGAAGAGGTCATCACTGGAAAATACAGACATAAATTAACTTAGAGACAAAAATATTAAGTGCATGTATTGAGGGGGGGAAAGTAATTTGTGATGAGAAATGGGCAATTTCTATCTAACACAAGGCAGGGGTCTATGTTATCCAGATCCGGCCAATGGGATGCTTAGATCTGGCTTGTGGGGCCACCCTGGAAACAGTGATGGATCAGCCTGCGATGGCCCTGCAAGCAAAAATGAAGCTCTTTTCACTTGCAGAGTGCTCAGGCCACCACAGGCGCCCCCAACACGAGTGATGTCGAGCTGGCCATGCCCCCAAGGTCAAACACAACCCTGATGCGGCCCTCAATGGAATTGAGTTTGACACCCCTGACATAGAGGATTCAGCAGTTAAAATAAGGTTATTACATTCCTCTTTGAACTGCAAATGTTCCATATAGCTTTGCTCTAACCAAAAAAAAAAGTCATGTTGTTATTTTTCTGGCACCCCTGCTCTCGTTCAAAACTTAACAACTTTCTATGAACAATAAGAGCCCTGTTTTCTAACTAGAGCCAGAGGAAATGTTTTTGACAAAGGGATGGAAACTGACTAGTTTCATCAAGCTCTAGATCAGCATTTCTCAACCTTGGCAACTTTCAGAGGCATGGACTTCAATTGCCAGAATTTCTCAGCCAGCCTGGGGAGTTCTGGGAGTTGAAGTCCACTAGTCTGAAAGTTGCCAAGGTTGAGAAACGCTGGTCTAGACCAACAATATTGGAATGAAGAGAGCTAGAATTATCAATCTCTTCTTCCACTTTGTTTTAGAACCGCCCTTTTTATCTTGTTAGACCTATTAGAAACTTTTTTAGTTGCGATTTGATGCTCACCTTTGAATTTCAGCGATGTAAGCTAGAGGTCTACATGGGGCTGCCCTTGAAGAGCATCCGGCGACTTCAGCTAGTCCAGAATGCGGCCGCGCGAGTGATTGTGGGCGTACCACGGTTCGCCCACATAACACCGATCCTCCGTGAGCTGCGCTGGCTACCTGTTGATCTCCGGGTGCACTTCAAGTTGCTACTCACCATCCATAAAGCCCTCCATGGTAGTGGATCTGACTATCTGAGAGACCGCCTTCTGCCGATTACCTCCCTTCGTCCCATCAGAT